ATGACACACGTACGAATGCGATTTTGTGATTATACGACATTATATTGTTACACGGCGCCGCCGTTTGAACGAGGGTGAATAAATTTGTCGCCGATGCCAGAGCAAACGTAACGTATATAATATATTCGCGCGAGCCCGCCGCCGTTTTCGAGTAGAATTTGAATTTCAAAACGGTTACGTACGTTCGTCGCGCGAGTCCTCTCCCCCCTCCCATCTCCTGTTCGTCTTAATGACTTATCTTCAGCGAACGCTTCGCCGGTGCACGTTGCCGGTCGCGGCGCCGAACTATGATAGTTGGTGGTAAAACAAAAAAAAAATTTGTTCGGCTCGTTCGGTGATGTCCGCAACCGGTGGAAACGCGGTCCGAGTCCGGAACCCGGAACGCAGGACCGTCACAACGTATACCGTGTACCTACCCCAACGGTTCGTTGGACAAAAATGAAATCAATGTTTTATTCGGTTCACCAGACTCCAATCGACGACCGTCTCGTGGTTGGTATAGTGATTTTTTTTGTTTAAAAAAAAAAGCATTTAAGTTATCGCGTTAACACGACACAATTCGACATTTTATCTCTGTAACTCACGTCGTTTATTTGTTACACTTCGATCACCCGGTCTCCTATTGAAATCACTTGCCGACCCCCTGCAGTTAAGGCACACGTTTTTAGAACCACCGCGCAGCGGCCCGTGAACTTGGAGACATCGCAGACCACAGACTTCATATCGGCCGATAGTTTAGTCGGGCTCTTAATCGGTACAAAGTTATGCGCAAGAGCGCACATTATAACGATTTGGTATCGGCCGATTAATAAGTTCGATGGGCTGCACGATTGCCTTCAAACTAAACAGTCGGCGAACTATCGGCCGACTGCTTAATCAGTATGGCGATAATTTCACGCGCGCACACTGCCGATTTTTAGTCTGTCGACTCGGCCGATTCACCGGAGCTTTGGAGCGGGAAGCTGTAGTAAAAGTATACTAAAAAGCGACTGCTATCGTCAGCAGAGTTCAGCACAACTAAAAAATCTTTCCAGAGCAGTCGGCCGACTATTGGCCAGTTTGCGTACTCACCACCAACCAAACTGTTTAGTTGGCCCAGTGAGCGCGATAGCAGCCCAACCCGACTAAATGTATCGGCCGATGTAAAGTCTGTAGTCTGCGATGTCTTTTAAGTCGATAATGTACCCGCTGGAATTGTGGAACATACAAATATTACGTAAAACGGTATACTATACCTGTTATTTGTAGGTAGTAGAGATGAGCACGGGCCGTTTTTTTTCGGCCCGATCCGGCCCAAAACTTAAACTTATAAATCGTCGTCGTCCAGTCCCGGTCCATATTTTATTTTTTTTAAATCTAGTCCGACCAGGCCCGTTTGTAATTTTTTTTTCAAAGTCCAACCCGACCATGCCCGTTTGTAAATAAAAATATACATCAACTGTATTTCTTTCCAGTATTGACTTAGCAGATAAAACATTTCATAAAGACAGTAAATGTTTTACAAAAAAAAAAATACGCTAAATTTTATTAAAATTTAAATATAAAATTATTTATAGATATAGAATACATAGTGCTACAAATTAAATTGATTAGTTTTGGTTTGACCGACCCGGTCCAATGAATAATATTACGATCCCACCTATAACCAACTCGTAATATTTAAATTATGACCCGGCCCAGACCAAGCCCGATGTGGGTCGGGCTAGCCTGGCCCGTGCTGATCTCTAGTAGGTAGTTCATTTAGCTGTTGCGAGAAGTGTATAGAAAGTGTAACGCGGGAAGATTCATTACGAAATCACGAACCACGATCATTCATACGTCATAAATTAACTTCAATAACGTTCTCTTGAATACATAGACACATTTTTTTGAATAATATGTTGGATATTATAACACATATGTGCATGTACATAAACCCTTTATCAAGCATTATAAATACGTTTAACCGATCCAAACCATCTCCTGACTTAAAAGAGGATCCTTCCCTCCTATTTCCACAATGATAACTCTTACTGCTCCACTACCCCACTAACCTAACCCCTCTCTCTTTCTTTCTCTCTCTGATATTTTCTCATCTTTGTCCACGGTTGATATCACTAGCAAGTTATCCCTCGTACCTACTGCGGTTACCTATTCTTTATTTGGTCGATCATCTTCACAACTACTAAACTTATTTTATGTTAAACTATAATGTTCCAATCACGTACACAATACTATTTAATCATAAAATGTTAGATTATAACATAAACCGATTACAAATTTATAACCGTTCAAAATTCAAAGGCCGAGGATCGTTAAGCAAAAAGTCTATGGTGGAATAACTAACGACAAAATAGAGTAATGTATTCATGTTAAACGCGTAGGTGACGCCCAACGAGACCATATATTGTTTTCCTCGATAATTTGTCAGGTATAAAGAAAACAATTGTTTCGCAATATTGAGACTTGAATGCGTTCCGTACGTTCGCCGTCAGACTTAAATTATAAATCTCCCGATAAAAGCATAGACGTGGAACTGAGAAACGCAATACATCGTCGTGGGTAATATTAGGTACTTATGCACCTATGTGTTTGCTCATCTTCGTCCACCGTCAAAGATCAGTTTGGAGTAAGATTTCACCGTGTCAAGTGTCACATGTACACTAACTCAACTATTCATAATATTTATTTATCTACATAACCTAACCTATACTCTACAGTGCCTGTGTCGAAATCATTTGAATAATTAGTACTGCGTCAACAATGCACAGTAAAAACATAACACTACTGTAGAAGAATGAATAATTAAATTCAAGTTGATCAATAACGAGTAATGAAATAATAAATAAAGTCAATGAAAATGTATTTTATACAAAATATTATTGAAGGTTCCACTTTTTAAATTATGAGTAAACGAGGAATGTATTGTTCTGACAAATATATGTGGTTTGTTTTGTGTGTCTATGTATATGATTTCGACCAGAAGTGCTCTGATAATCACAACTGTGAGAGATTTCTGAAAGAAAATTTTGACTAAACGATACTATGATAGAGATTATTTAATGAATTTCCCAACAATTTTTTTAATACTTGCATTAAAACGGATAAATACAGCACCATTTTCGACGTACCAGTTTATAAGCGTTACAGGATGAAATTTCTACGAGATCGGATATTTTAACAAATCTCCATTAAACAATATTATTTATTTAGTTAAATATTTTTTATACTCTTGAGATATTTAAATAAAATTAGTGCAGCTTATAAACACTTGGAATATTTGATTTTTCCAAATTTTAGATATCATTTTTTATTAACGAAAGTTAAAACATTAAAAGTTTAATCTGCCTTATTAAAAAATATGGTTCTCCTATTTTATCAACCATCTTTAAAATTATTAACTGATTCATCCGACCTCTTTGACTTAAAATCGTTTTTTCAAGAGTAATGGTAAATTAGTTTAAAAAATCTATATAGTAATACCATCAATCCATCCCTGTAACTCGCCCAACCATGAGGTCTCACTGGACATAGGAATTTTACTTTTTATTTATTAAAATAAATAATTAAAATTGCAATGTATCGTATCTTAAATAGTCATTGAATATTGTTGTTGTACGATATTCATCCTCAATATTTACCTCTGACCAATAATTTCACCTAAACGTGAATACATATAAGGAGTTTGCCCCCCAATAATATAATCTAGAGACACCACTGCTTCTGACCAGTGCCATAACTAGAGGTTGGCGAAATGGACGGTTTCCAAGGGTACAAAAAAGTAAGAGGACACATTTTAGTTAAATTATAATTATTTTTTTGTATATAAAACAAGCGCAAAATAAAATTCGCCGAGGGCACCACAAAGAGTAGTTACGGTACAAAAAGTAAAGATCATTTAGTATTTAGTATTTGAATACTTTTTTTAATGTATCTGTATTTAAAATCAAATACTATTTTTAAATACTTTTTTCCTCTTATTTTATGTACAGGTACGCCATATTTAAATAAAATAATACAAAATTGTACAACATTTTTATTTATAGATCATTATTATTTTAATCGCCATTGTTATTATATTATCTTGATAATAAATAACAATAGCTACTATGCCATATTTATTAAATAACTAATGACTGTATAGTGTTTACATTAGATACATTTTTGTCCAAGTTATAGTATTTGATAGTAGATACACTCAACCAAAAAATGTTGCACCCTTATTCTAATTAATTTAAGTAAAACTAGATAGAACTAAAACAAAAAATTAATTCAATTTTCTAATGATTAAATTTATCTATAAGGTCATTAAGGTAAAAATGTAAAACACTTTTAAAAAAAAAAGTATTTAAAAATATCTATAAATAGTTTTAAAAGTATTTTTAATTGTACTTGAATACTTTTTAAAAGTATCTTTTACGACAGAATAAAAATAAATCATTGTTACAAAAAATTCATCAACACCTGAATACTCTGAAAAATTCTATATTTTAAATTTCAAGTTTCAATTTATAATAAATTATTTAAGATTAAATATTACAAATAAGCAATCAACACATTTTTTTTTTTTTATTATTATTATTAAAAACAATCAAAACCGGGGTAGGTGTACCTAAAAGCATTATTTCAAATTACTTAATTCCTTGATTTGATATTCCAACTTAGACATTTGAAATTATTTGTTTCAAAAATGAGCAAGATAGGCAGTGTTGTTTCTTTATAAAAACTTTTTTTCAATCTCATTATACTTTGAAACAAAATTATATTTATATCAAATTTCTAATAATCTAATCAGTCAAAATCAGAATAATACAAAATAAACTGAGGGGTTCACTTGTAAATAAATAGATTACACTAGTTTTAATAACTCACTAACCTGAAATCTTAACAAAATATTTACTGTAACATAAAATACTAATGTTAATATCGTAACTAAGAAAGAAAAAAACATTTCATATAATTTAAATTGACTATAAAACTGTGCTTTGAGCAAAAAAAAAAAAAAAAATTATAACAATATATTATTGATGCGTTGTATAATTGATGTATAAAATAAAATAAATATCACTATTTATCGTTGTTTTTCTTTGCGATTACTCTTCTTAGATGCACTTATAATAGGTTCTGGTCTTGATGTTCCAATGTACAAGTCATATACCACTGGTACAAGCTAAAATCAAAATTAATAATATTTAATAAAATAATAACAATTTTATTGTAAATTTATTACCTGAATAAAGAAATAGACTATAGTCAAGTAAAGAACTATGGCCAAAGTAAGAATAAGATCAAATACTGCTGGTTTAACACTAAAAAAAAAAAAAAATTAGCAGTATGAGCATAATATAAAACAAATATTTTACTCTTATAACTTTGCAGAGAAATATATTATTTTTAAAATCTTGTTTACTCAGATCATAAACTACTTATATACATCTGTAATAGCTCAAGATACAAAACATCAAAAGTTGTATTGTATAATATATTTCACGAACCTGTATACTTGTAAATTTGCTCTGGTAACAGTATAGAAAGAAAATTGTGGATCGACCTTATCTGCTGTCAAATGTGACACATTAACGTCTTTTAAATATTTGCTCATAATTGAAAATAAATTTTCAATTAAAGGGTGACCTTTTTGAGCAATTATTTGTGGAGATCTAGGCTGTAATACTAATAAATCCAATGAACTGCGCAATGACTCAAAATCAATACTCTAAAAATATTTTAATTTAATATAAATTTAATTGCATAACATGAAATGCATTTAGTATATACAATAAACTGTGAACTATAAACTTTAAAAAATGATAGTTATGTTTTTTTATAAAAATATGTTTTTTCTTATGTTACTAAATTATTGCATTTAATAAATTAAAATACCATTATAATACTCACAATTTTAGGTGTTTCAGATGTATTATAATCATACAGATGAGCTACTAAAGTTTTAGCTATAATCTGAGCATTACGATACACAATTTTTGAATCCAATGTTTCACTTGTATCCAAAATAGTTTTCCTTGAATAACTTTTATGACTCTATTATTAAATAAATTATAACTTTAACATATTCAATTGTAATTAAAAAGAATTATAATACTTTTAAACTAGAAAGGGTGAATGCAGGTAGTCTTTTAATACTATATCTCTCATGTTCCCAAGCAAGTGTGTCACTACTCAAATTAATCTTTTTGTGAATAATTTTCAGTCCATTTTCTCCCAAATTTTTATTAAGTTCCTAGAAAAAAAATATGTATATAAACTCATACAATTGAAAAACTGAAATAAAACAAAATAAAACTACATTCATAAAATTTCCCATTTTAGAATCATCTTTTGGAGGTTTTGACACATGAGCATAAATATTTTTATCCGTACCCAAAGAGTCCAAACATAACACAAACGACACATCCTGAAATAATAACATTAGCTTAATAAATATCATTTATACTATGTTATTAAATTTACTAAATATTTACTTGTAATGTATTAGATTTTTCCATTTCTTGTTCGATCCAGTTTTTAGATCCTAAATAATTGAGTTTACCACCACCACTCAATATAAACATAACATTATACTTTGGTCGATTTTTTTCTGCATAAATTCGACTTAATATTTTAGCCAAAACTAAAAGTAAAGCTGCTCCTGAGCCATTACTATCAGCACCATATGATAACTCCTAAAAAAGATTCATAGGCTATAAAAGTAATCAGAAAAATTATTCAAAATTAATTACTTACAGGAGCCAGACCAAAACTGTCATAATGAGCAACAATCAAAATACTAGGTAACTTATCTTGAAATCCATAACCAATCAGTTGGCCCTAATTAAAATTACATTTATACTTAACAACAATTAAATAATTGAATCTGATGTTGACTGATTTACTTGAATTGTTGATATAGCAATATTCTGCTGCAAAACTGGTTTACTTGTTGATACTACTATTTGATATCCATTAGCAGAAACTGAGTTAATAAAAGCTACAAAATAGATGTTTAAAAGTAATATATAAAATAATATTCAATTAATTCAATTATAACTTATACCTTTAGCAGCTGAACTTGCGTTTTCATCAATTATTTTACTATCATCCAAATCATCCATTAAATTTTTAACTTCAGGGGACCAATTCATGAGATATATTGGTATGGCTGTTTCAGATACCAAAATAGTTTGTTCGATTTCTAACATTTTCTAAAATTAATTAAAAAAATAATTATTTACAAAACTATAAAAAAAATAAATAAGTGTTCACAAAATCATTTACATTCTGTGAATAAAAAACATGAATAGTTCTAAACATTTGCAACAATAATAGGCTTTACCATTGAATAAAATTATTTTTAATTAATGGTTATGCATCTACTAGTGCAATATTTGAACATTTAAAAATACCAATTTATAATGTTCAAATATTTCTTGCAGATATATACCAGGTGCCAAGTAACAAAATCAACATCTTACTAATTGCTGATCTTGAGTATAGGGTGTTGGTGGTACAATCAAAACTAAGGCACCCAATCCTGCTGATATTTGTTCATACTCCTCAGAAGTAAAGTTGTCCATTAGTACAAACACACAATGTCTAGACCGACTACTCCAAGTCTTCAATGATCTAGCTTCCAGGTTGATGATACTGCTTTTGGAGCCTATAACCGAAAACAAATAAGCAAACAATACAAATAAATTAAGCAAGAGACACAGAAGTGATATGTTTGACATTACCATAAGTGGTGCCTAGCAAACTATACTGTTGGGCGCGGTATACGGAGAACTCATGAGCTGCATTGGCCGGACAAACAGGGCTCAACACTAACAGCAAGGGTATCGCGATTAGCAAATACACTGGGAAACCAGTTTTAAGAATCTCCGAAAACTCATCAGATTCTCCTAACATTCTTTATGATTTATAATTAAATTATGGACAATGTATTAGACAAGAAATTAAAAAACGATAGAAGGAGATTAAAAAAAATATGTCAACAACTAACTTCTTTAACAAAAACACAAAAATCTAGTTACTACTGGCCGTCATCGGTCTGACTAAAAAAAGCACGCGTACTGAAGAATATTAATAATAATAATAATAGTTTTAATAATTAATAATAATAGTGAATGCACCGGCGGTATTTGTTTGCTTCTTGCCTAGCATTTTATTTTATGGCTGTTATCGCAACGAATCTACAACTCTACAGACTTTATCAAATTTTCGAATGGAAGAATAACACGATTTTCATAGAACAAACGAAATGCATGTACCGACAAAAATTGCGCACAGATGGCGTACTACATACACGACAGTGTACGTGTATAATTTTTTTTATAAGACATTTCCCGCGTCCACTGTTTTTTCTTCTACGACAATTATAGGTAGTGTTTTAGTCCTTAAACAAAGTCTTAGATATACACTTCGTAAGTAAAAACGGGGTAGTTCCTATCCCATCCCTTTTTTTTTTGGTATCGAGCTATAAGATTATCAAACTCAATAATGATCCCGATTTAAAATCAATAAAACACAGTTAAAACTATTGTAGCGACTTGCAGCAGTGCAACGGCTCTTCGAACTATATTTCCGGGCAATAATTTTAGTCTTATATTTTTGAATTTAAAATTAAAAATAGATGTGTAAAACGCAAGTGTAATAATGGTTCCTAATAAACGTGATGACAAGGAAATATGTTTGGTATTTTTGATTTTTATAGAAAAAAAGTCGGAATTCGTTAATTCTGTTAATAGCTATAAATGTTATAGTATACTAGTATACCTGTATACATGTGTAGGTAGTACGAATTACAATTACACGCATCAACCAAAAAAAAAAAAAAAAAATGGAAAAGTCGTTATACGCCGTACACCCACGTATACGCTCCATTACACCACTGATTACACGTAACGGTCACCCATCCAACATTTAGTGACCGGAGCAATGGCCGCTCCATCCATACTCAATATGCCCCGGACGGATTGGTATTATGATGTATCTCTTTTCCTTTGTAAACACATTTTCGAACGACCAATTTTCACGAAAACGTTAGCGGCTTAAATCATCGAGAGTGGGAAGACTAGCAACGAACAGGAATTTAGGGTATCCAATGATACCTCGATTCTAAAAACTGTTATTTTTCTCTTAAATACCGACTGGTCAACCAGAATCAAATCTTCATGTGCCGACAATAATGCTATAATGAAAACGAGAAAATGTTTTCTTTTGTTTTGAAAACGGCACGATTAGTCTACTCGAAATGTTTTACGAATCTAAACCCAAAAACTAAAATTACGCCTCTGCTACTTGAAACGAAAATTTACTCAGATGGTTTCCTCGGTAATTTTTCGTAATAGAAAAAAATGTCATCCGGTGATAAATTTCAACCACCAAATGTTTGTATTTATTTTCTAAAAAAAAATTGTGTTCTATGGTTTGAAAACGGTTAATAGAAGATTAACTCTGAACGTAACCTAATGTCAAAAATCGGTATATTTGATGCATAGATTATTTTTTTAACATTTTTTTAAATTTAAACGTGGTTTTTTTTTAAGCTTTTTTAAGACGAAATAAAAATAATTTTCCTACCTATAATGGATTTGATATTATTTTAAATAAGTGTGAATACATAATAAGTAGGTAGGTAGATATTTTTGATAAGATATTTAATACAAAGACATATTATTTATTATATTACACCGACCTTCGCTCGAAAACGTGTTTATATACGATGATTTATTATCGCTCTCTTGTGTAGATAAATAAGTACGATACAAAAATAAGAACTTGCACTTGAAACCAATATTTGTTCATATTTTTTATCGAAATAAAATGTAATAACATCGACATCACTTTTTTTTTTTTGCAAAAGCTGTAACTTTTTTGTCCTAAATAAATTCGTAATTTATAATAGGTACCAAGTTATAACTGAAAATAAATAAAGGGAATACTATGTTTAAATTTCTATTATTCGTTCTAAAAAGCCATTCTAACCTAACTTTAGGCCATGTTCCCATAAAAAAAAAACTGAAAATAAACTTAATTTACCATTAACTTAAATCTATAAATTTCATATCAATTATTATTTTTTTAATTTTATTTATTTAAGTATAATATGATATATTTGATTATTATAGATATGTCGAATATATCGAATACTCGTAGGTATAAAATAAATTAGTTATTCATTATTTCATGATAAAAAGGACATCATTAACTTACTAGAATTATTTGTTTTAATCAGAATTTCATTCCACGCTTTTTCTTTTATATCTTGTCGGCTGTAATTATATGATTTTATATCATAATGACATTTATGACTTTCTATATAATGTATTAAATTCACATTTTCTTCTTGTTCATTTGTCATTTTAAATAAATAATTTAAAAATAGAATATTGTATCTTATTAAATAAACTATGATACAATTACCACGAGCAACTGATAAAAAGAGAGTGACATGTCGAGTTGCTTAAAAATATTTTTTTAACAGATGAATTGCTTTATAGTCGTGTTACCGGTGAGAACATGTCGATTTGATAATACAAGTCACGTCGAAGTTGCGTTGCCGTCGGCAGTTGTTTTTGGTGAGAATTTACAAGAAAAAAAGAAAAAAAGATCTACCATTGTCAACTTACACATCTTGTATCAATTTTCCGGATAAAATAATGGATTTTTAAAGTATATGTATACAATAGTATACATTCAAAATCAATACTAGACGAGAATTATAAACTAACCATTTTAAAAACGAACATCTCTTAAAATACCATCTAAAACCCCAATAAGACCAACAATTCGCCTTTTCAACAATATTGTTATCATAACAATATATGGTTTGATTTCGTCTGCACCGCTGACAAAGCAATATTCTATAGAACATACGACGTATTTCATAACTGATTGTGACTCGTGTCTACGAAATACTGGTGGGATTTACGATGCAAGGGAACACAATATCAAATTTAAAAATAAAAATAAAAAGGCTGTTTTTCAATAAAATGTTCTAACCACAACCAACAGATTAAGAGTGGTAATATATAAAATTCAACAAACGTGCAGTAAACGTTCAGATACAACGAGCATAAATCCATTTAATATATTTTGTTTACTATGCATACTAGAAATCTCAATTTATGAGCGTGAAAACTTATTGAAACAATAAAAATTTAAAGAACAACGACTTCCAAGAATTAAACAAACTATAATATTAACTAGATTAAAAATAATTCTAAGAGCATATTTATAATCTAATGACCTATTGTTGTTTGTACTTATAATGAAATCTATTTCATTAAACATTTAAATTCCACGAATAAATTCATAATGCTAATTCTAATGACCTCAAAATTATAATTATATAACAATCAATATCCTTGACCCTAAAATATGAAAAAGGCCTATAAATTTTAGAACAATAGGCACATTCGTTTAACCACAGTAGAGAATATACATAAAACTTAGAAACTAATACAAATATTTTCACTTTTTATGTGTATTCTACATTTGATTATTTCGAGTAAATTAATAAACATTCATAAGTAAAAATTAATACGTTATAATAATGGAGGAAATACAACAACGTTTTCTAATAAAAGATTAGAATTATTTACGTCACTATTATCAACTCCGTAATTAAATATTTTACTGGTACAGGATATAATATCAAAGATTTTAAGGAGCAATGAGATATTTGGAAGGAAATAAGCATGCCCTGATATCCTCTACCTTTACTTCCTTGAAGTTTAGTAAGCTAAACAACTTGATATGGTTCACTGCGCTTACTATAATTTTACACTAAACCTTCCTAGGAAACTATTAATTTCAACCCAAATTTTATCAAAAGTTTTTTAATACAAATATTCGTTTGGAATACAATTTAAAATAGGTACAAGATTACATACATTATTAAACAAGGAGAAGGATTTATCATAAAAAAATGTTTATGCAAAGGAATTTTTAGTATATATCTAAATAAAAACATGAGGTGTAAGTATGTCAAGATTATACTACTCGTACTTGTTAAAATAATTGGTGGTTCGATAGGATAGTATGTTATCTATAACGACGACAGCTAGAAATAATAAAATTGATTTAATCACAAACGCTAAATACTAAATCACTAAATTGTATTTTATTTTACTTTTAAGAATAAAATATCAGGGAAGTGCAAAATGTTCAATACTAAAATCGAACTATAGAACATCAATAATATATCAAAATACCAGTGTTCTCCTTACATAATTTGCACTGAAAATATTTCTAATTCCTATAATACTCCTGGTAACGATTTCATAATATTCATTAATAATTAATTTTTTTTAGTTTCAATAAATCTGTATATAAGATGTAAAAAAAAAACTTTTAAATGACTTTGCCTGTCGTTCGATACTGTACATTTAACAAATCATAGTATCTGAGCGGAATTTAGAGGTAGCAATATACCAGTGCCACCAATATAGCACCAATTTAAGATTAATCTAAATAATAGGCCTATTAAATAATATATTAAACATCTTAAAAAATATCAATATGAAATATTTTATTTTATTTATTTGAAGAAAAATGGGACCTGAAATAAAAAACGTAATACCTACAATGTAGGTCCTACATATTCTGCATTATAAGTTATACTCGTATGTATTAATTCAATCGTAACTCACAAGACATTAGAACATTATAGGAACTTTGATATTTAATTAAGTTATCAACAGTTTTTCAAACTTTTATTAGTTTTAAAAAAGTACAATAAAAGAATCTAAATGTTTATTTCATTTTTGGAAATAAGACTGTTTACATAAATCAATATTTTTACAACTTCTATTTTATATTTTATTGTATGTTCGCAAAAATAATGTATTCATTTTTTTAAAAGAAAAATGGACGGCTTAATTTAGTTACCTGACGATGACAAAAGTCTAAATACGAATCTATTTAGTATGCATATAGATATGCGTAAACACACTGCAAATTAGATAGGATACGTCACAAAATACTCGTATACAGTAGGTATTTTAATCAATAACGGTTTCGTTTTCAAGATGTTGCCGATGTAGATACTACACAGTATTTTAACTGCGTAGCGATGAGAATTCGATGTGAATTTTGAATATACTCCAGTTAATCAATTCGAATGTACATAGTAGTATATTAGGACTCTGTACGTATTTAATACATATATGT